ACAAGTATAATCGATTCAATAATATTGTGAATAACAATTCTCTCTTGTGTATTGTTTCAGGTTTAAGGAGAATATTAGCAAGGCCTCAAAAGTCTTCAATGACAAGCCTATGTCATCATTAGACACAGCTATCTATTGGATAGAATATGTTATCAGGCACGAGGGTGCCCATCATTTAAAACCTTTGACAGTTCAAATGCCGTGGTACCAGTTATTCCTGTTGGATGTTATCGTCGTATACTTGGCAATGTTTATAATTTTGTCCTACTTCATAATGAAAATAATTGTTGCATTGCTAAAAAAGTGTATTCTTAGAAGTAAGTCATTAAAAGAGAAAACTGTTTAAGTTTTAGTGTTTTCCGATTATTCATTTTTATTTCGTTATTATCGACTGACCTTACGTAGCTCAAAAAACACCGGAAACTGAGAGTGGGGTGCACGTTCTGGAATTTTTGTTTTTTAATATATCTCGTAAATTTCACCAAAAAAAAATATTTTTTTTTGGAGAGTTTTGTGGCTTCTATTCCTTTTGTTATAAATCTTTAGGAATCTACAGCCATCTATAGACGCTATTTATTGTCTTTAGACATCAGGGAGTTTGGTAGACATCCATGCTCGGGCTAACAAATTTTCACGGATTATGGCCGAGTGAATTCCACTTGCAGATCTACTCGTCAGTTCCACGGAAATTTGTCGCCATTTAGGCTAGCAAATTTCCAGAGATTAAGGCCGAGCGAATTCTGCTTGCAGATCCACTCGTCAGTTACATGAAAATTTGTCGCCACTACCGGGATTCGAACCCGGGACCTACACTGACCTAGAGTCAGACGCGCTGACCACTAGGCCAACCTGGCCGGCCACCGAAAAAATATATCAGCTAACACAACAATAACGGGTATATCTGGTCAACAGTTTAACCAACCCGTCAAATTTTAAGCCAATGCGAAGCTTTCAGTCTCTCTCATCACAGATTTTCACAATATTTGAGATACTTTCCACCGATAAACACGATCCGATCATTTTCTAAAAAAATATCCCAAGTCTGCCTAAAGTTAAAGCATCGTCTCAAAGTGGAGCTCGATTACGCAGGCAAACATTTTGATCTTGGAAAAGTGATGGTGTGCACCACATCATGTCCAGGCAGTGGTGTGTTGCACGAAAAAATTAAATTGCTGATTTAACAATTCAATTGTTAAACAAGTTGGTTTTTGCAATCGCTAGCGATAGCAATATTCGTCATGGGAACTTTTGCTTCTGGGATATGAAAATTTTAAGGTACAGTTCGTTTGTAGTATCTTCAGAATTGAAGGGGCTATGTAATTTTGTGTTGACATCTCTGTTTTAACATTTTTAATTTTTTTTCTTTGCATACAAGAAAGCTGTTATTTACCAATTATTTATTTTCGTTTGATTATGTATGGTTTTTGGAAGTTAACGCATTTAACTTTCAGTTTCGTTTTTTCGGCGTAAAGCATGATATTTTTACTCTACGCATATGCCCGAATACGCATCATAAGTGACCTATGTGCTTCCTAAGTTGCCATTTTTTTCATTCAAATAGATGTAACTGAAATGTTAGATGTGTACTACCTATACTACTTTCATGTCATTGCTTTATTTATTTATTTATTTACTTTTTGCGTAGGTATAAATTGTTATTTTTTGCTGAATTTTGGAGAAAATATTGCTTTAAGAACGTGGAATGTAAATTAATTTTATTGAAAAAAAAAGAAAATACCATCATTAATTTGGGCGAACAGAGAAAATATACATCAATATTTGGGTCAACATCTCCCTGATTATATGAAGGATGAATATATTAGTATTTCTGTATCAAAAAACTTAGCTTTTGTCTTCAGAGATACAATGATTCTAGTCCAAGTCAATTTGTTTTATTGAAAAAACAAAAACAACAACAAAAAATAAATAAAAAAAAAACAACTGAAATGTTAGACGTACTATTTTCATGTCTTTCTATTTGTATCAATAGGTACTTTTTGCTTAACTTACGAACGTTGAATGCAAATTAACTTTATTGAAAAAAGAAAATAACGTCATTAATTTGGGGGAACGTGTGGCTGATTATATGAAGGAGGTATATTCCAGTATTTATGTTTAACATATTAATTCACGAGAAAATGTTCGTACATTTATCATCTAGTATTAATTATTTTTTGATGATTAGTCTAAAACATTCAATACAACCATTAAAAAGTAACACCCATCGTCGGGTATCGAACTCCCGATTGCCTATTATCCGCTCCTTTTCATAAAAATGTGACGACCTAGTCAACCAGGCTATCACGGCTCCGCGGTCGGTGCTGTAAAAATAGCATACAAAAGACTCTGACGGTGGGCGGGGCTTATCACAAGAGTTGTTTTCGACGCGACGCTTTGTAGCTCCCGCCTAAGCGCCTTTCTCTGTGAGACATTGTTTACCTATGCTATCATGTGTCTCAAGGTTCACCTCACCATGCATTTGCTATCGCGGCAGTAAGCTGAGGCAATATTTCTGTATTCATGAATTAAATCAATCAATCGAGTTCTGATTTTGGCTCATATATCCGTAACGAGTCCTCCAGAACAATTTTCCACCTTGTACGATGGTTATTATTTCTTTATATCTATGTTTAAAATTTGAGGTGGGATAATGGCGGCTTCTCAAGAGCACCGAGGTAGGCGATCTTTTGCACCAACGAACAGAAAACTGATGGCGAAAAATAACCAATCGGAACCTCCCAAAAAAAAGAATTTGCCTAAAAACGGAACTTCGTGGTTCTGCGCAGATTTACCAGTCAGACACGACATCTCAAGATGGAAAAAAACTCGCTGAAAGCGAATTTTAGCAATCAACACAACTTGACGTAGAGACATGATTGGCTAAAAAATACAACGGTTTTTGATACTTCGGAAAATCAACCAAAAATCGGAGACTGGGCGAAACGCTGAAGGTCGCAGAGGTATAGGGAATCCCATTGCGAAAGCAACGGAACGATTCTAATATCATGGGGAACTCCGTTCCCATGACAAAAAGTGACTGCAATGTTTCAATGTAGATTTCACAACACAAAAATACTACTTTAACCACCCCCGTGGTTAAATTAGCTTACAACAGTGGTTATAGTAGCATTTTTTTGTTGTAAAATCTACGTTGTAATATTGCAGTCACTTTTTTTAGCAATTTAATTGTTAAATCAGCAGTGTAATTTTTTCCGTGTGCGGATAATTGGACATGTAAGTACAAAGTCGGATAATAAGTTGCCTCAACAAGTTTCGAAGTGTTCCTCCCCCCCCCCCTGAAAGAAGGAGGCAGGGAGTGCAGGGACGTCCCAAAAGGAGGTGGCGAAAGGGCGTTGATCAAGAGATGTTGCGTTGACGGGTGCCCGATAACCTTTGGTTTGGAAACATACATACGTAAGTACATGTGGCGTTCGGGTGTGGTAAAGCGCCAAAGTGCGCTGTAGGAGCGACACATATGTATGCATGTAAACGGAATTCCTCTCGATAAAATTGAGAAAATTATGAGGTAAACAAAAAATTTTTGCAATTCAGGTCAGTTTTAGTTTTAAACTCCTAATTCAAAGAATAAAGTCATCGATATTGAAATTGCATTCTTGGAATTGAAGAAGAAACTTCATTTCACTTCTGAAAAAATTCTCTCACCCATATGACCCACGCGGATCCAAGAGGGGGCCGTAGGAGGCGTGTACCTCCCCCCTCCCCGATTCACTCAAAAAAAAAAGGAAAAAGGAAAAAGAAAAAAGAAAAAAAGAAAGAAGGAAGGAACAGAGGGAAGGACTCTCGTATTTGGTAATTTTTCATGTCAAAATTGATTCAAACCGCATGTTAGATGCTGTAAAATTTCGAAAATTTTCTGGAAGACTGCATTTCTCCTCTCAAAACCCCCCGGACCACTTCCACCCCCCCCCCTTCGAAGAGTCTAGACCCAACCATGTCACATAATAAAATAATGAAAAAATGATTCTTCGAATTAAAAAAAATATATTTAAAATCAACTGGTTTTTTTGTTCAACCATATTCTACTCTGTGTATATTTTCTTTTTCATTGAAGAGACTTCCCTAGTAGCAGAACCATAGAAGGAGAAGATAAAGATTATGTACGAAAGTCAATTTTTCCTGTATAACGCATGCATACGAAAGTGTTAAAAGTGAACATTTTTATGTAACCATTGTGTAAAAAAAAGTCATGATTTTCGTGAGCTTTCCGCAAACATACTAAAAAATCCTCTAATTCGCGAAAAGCTCACGAAAATGATTACCTTTTTTATATAATACATAAAGTTACATAAACATGTTCACTTTTAACACTTTCGCATGCATGCGTTATATAAACAAATAAAAAAATTGTCTATAAAAAAAATTACCTTATCTAGCTTTTATCATTTTTCATATATTATGGTCAGGTCTGCGCTTTGATTTTTTTTATATAAGCGTTACACGTTTTTTATATAAAACTACCATTTAGATAACAGATATGTTTCTTATACTTTGTATAGAAAAACAAAAATTTGTTCTGCTACTAGGGTTTTCCTCCTAGGGTTTATCATTTTTCATAATTTATGGTCAGGTCTGGACTTTGATTTTTTTTATTTAAGCGTTGCACGTTTGCAGATACGATAACAGATATCGACGGTGCAAGTCGGCAATCACATAACTCGGTTTGCGACGTTGTAGACTTCCTGTCATACTTCATTTTTAAAATGGCAAAACTACTCAACGGCAATTCTTTCAAACTGTCATAATTTTTCTTCTCAATGCGAAGAAAATTCTGCAAAAACTTCAAGCAATAATGTCAATTTGTTCTCCTTTAAGAAAATGACGTAGAGGCGGAGATTTTCAGACACCGCAAACGAGTTATGTGATTGCCGACTTTCACCGTCGATATGTTTTTTATACTTTTTAGAGAAAAACGAAAATTTGTTCTGCTACTAGGGTTTTCCTCCGAGGGTTTATCATTTTTCATTTATTATGGTCAGGTCTGAACTTTGATTTTTTTATATAAGCGTTACACGTTTTTTTTTTTTTTTATAAAACTACCATTTAGATAACAGATGTGTTTTAACTTTTATGTGTGTTGACTTTTTATAGAAAAACAAAAATTTGTTCTGCTACTAGAGTTTTCCTCCCGGCAGAATATTTGAGAAAGCGTGGTTCAATCAAGTCCCTTTTTTCCCCGGTGTAGTGGAGAAGGAGGCCGGCGGAGGTTTGGCGGGGGCGGTAAATTTCCCTTTTCCCGGTTTGGCGGGGGCGGTACCCGTCTCTTTTTCCGGTGTGGCGGGGCCTTTGACCCTTTCTGGAGCATCGTGGAACAAGACGCGGAACCCGCGCGGTTTGGTGCCCAACCAAACCCGGCCTGTCCAGGGGTGTTCATTGTGTAACCCGTGGGCTTCGACGAATTCAGTTTCGTTGTGACCTTTGACCCTCAAATATTTGAGCAGGCGTGGGTTGATTTTGCAAGTGCAGTCCGGTACCGGGGCGGAAGCGTTCACGGGCGTCGTGATGTATAGACCGGGGTAAGGGATGTCGTTTGCCTTTAACTCCGTTTCATTTAGCTTGATGAACGCGAACTCCATTCGACACATGTCGGTGCAGTTATCCGGTTTCCTGTACGCTGATACCGGTTCATTTTTCGATGACGATTCCGGCTCATTTTTCGATGCCGATTGCGGTTTCTTTCCCTCCAGGAGTGCTGGCGGCAAATCCGCCATTTTAACTGGCGGCGATCGTGACATCTGCCTTTTTGTATGGAGCAGGTGGACTTTGACTCCATGCTCTCCTAACCATTCACGGGCCCCAACTGGATCTTGTCCTTCCAATTCCCTGTAAGCCGTGACATTGAGGCCTCTTCCAGTCAGGAAGAACATGAACTGGCTGTTAAATCTGCATTTGCATGTAGGAACACCGTCCTCGTCAACTAGGAATCCATCCTTGACCGGTAACTGTGCATTTTCGTACTCCTCTCCACCATCGACCCACCCTTCTTTATTGAGGCACTTCAAATGGCATTTCGCCTCTGCACCTGAAATCGATGGATAATAGATGGTTAATTGAGTGATGAGCGTTGGTGTTAAACCACCAGACCCGAGTAGCGCAGTGATCGAGAAGTTGAGATTTGATCGGGTAGCGTATCGCAATGGACCACTAGACAAGGTACGAATTTCAGCATTATGATACATGTTTCTCAACCAAAATTTCACGTAGAACACGATACGCACAACGAAAATCACCAAAACCAACTCCTGACGAAGATATTTAATGATTCTTGATGCGCGAATTCAAACCACCCGCTCATGAAAACTCAATGCTCTACGTGATTCACATCGCGCGCTAAATGTTCATCATGACAGTCTCAGCGATGTAAAAATCTTCAACTTCAATCTTGACACTTTGGCTCAGCTATAGCAAATTACCAATAGTTTGAACAACACATGGTGGAAAATGAACATTGCTCGATTGAGAAGCTTGCTGAAACCGTTGTAGTGCGCGATTTGACTCACGTAGAGCTTTGAGTTTCTTGTGAGCGGGCAGTTCAAATTCCTCGTAATCAGTGCGAAATAAAAACGTTAATAGCTTCGTTAGAAGTTGATTTCGGTAATTTTCGTAGTGTGAATCGTGTTCTACGTGAAATTCTGGTTAAAAAACATGTATCAGATTGCTTAAATTCGTACCTTGTCTAGTGGTCCATTTTGTCCACGATGATTCATTGCCGTATTATCGGATAAAAAATGTCGATAAACTGCGATTTCATCGATTGAATTTGCAAAAAAATCGAGATTTTATCCACAGCGATTTATCGAGATAATGGCGAACAAAAAATCGTGATAAATTGAGGTAAAATTTCGATTTTATCGGACGCAATTTAATAGAGATAAAATTGCGACAAGATTGAGGATAGTTGCTCAGATGTCGATAATTCTCGTTACTTTATAGCCAAAAAATCTTATTAAAAATATCAACTTACTTTACAAATATCGCAATTTCTCCGTTGAAAGATGCTACTCGGGGACTGCAGGAGTGTGCTCATAGGGTCGAAATAACACCGTATTCTTCAATGAAATTTTTACCGAAGGCGCTTTTTCCGAGGGCTAAAAGCCTCTAAAGGCTCTGGAAAATATATCGTTTTCCCTGCATTTTGGCAACGGCTATGAGCCGAATCTAATGATAATTAAGATGGCTCAGTTTCGCTTATCGAAGAATCGTATCTTCATGGTTTAAGCTTGTATACCAGCAAAAATTAATAAGATCTGTTCAAACGCCAAGTTTATACGACTAATATTAAGAGAAATGTAACTCATCGCAAAACTCGGTGTTTGGCGCCATCCGCCGCGGAAGTACATGCTGGGACTTCTTCCTCCTTGGTTTCAACAATCAGTGATGTATGCACATATTTTGCTAGTCGCTAGACGTAAACACCGGATGGAAATAAGGTGGAGGAAACCATGGCATGCACAACCGTGGCAGATAACACCACATGCTGTGATTTTTGAAGAGTGATATCTCGACTAATATTGGACGTAAGCATTTGGCGTGTGAACGGATCTTATGATATTTTTCAAATCTGTAAGTTCAAACCATTAAAATACAAAATTACCAATAAGACAGGCTCTGCTAGCTCACTTCAGCGCCCATCGTGATCCTCTGCCTTTAAGTCGACGAAGCACTCTTTCTTGAAGGCGTTCTGAGCAACTATTCCGCCTCGGAAGTTTTGCACAGTATCAGACGAAAATGAAGGCGTGCTAATGTACGTAAATTGACTGGTATCGTTTAACTTTACGTTGAGTCCTAGTTATTCTGCCGTGCTAAGGAAGAACGCCGTATGAACATCCGACGGTTGCCAAATTTCCCTCAATGAAATGTTTATTTTTAAGGTTATGAATATAACATATAAGTTATGAATATTTTTCCATGAAATTTTTGGGAAATGTACACAAACAAACATGTACACGAACAAAATTATGTGGAAAATTGGTATCTATACAGGTTCACTGGCTCTCTCTCTCTCCATGCATTTAACACGCTTAAGAATACTAAGCAACAGAATAGACGTGGTTATACACTGAACTACCGTGATAGCGAAGAGACCAGTAAGCGCAAAAATGAAGTTTTGAGAGAACGGGCTTAGAAGCTTCTGACCGGAAAATTTTATTGAAAGAAGCCTCCGTTCTTTGTCAAATTTGCCACTAATCCCCTAAAAAACTCCTAGAAATCGTTTGGGTGATTTTATTTTATTTTACTTTATTTTTTAATCTTTATTTCATTTCTCCTACTTTACAATATTAGGAAATTTTACTTGAACATCTATTTACATAACTTAAGTCTAACTGGTGGATCAAGGATCCTAGTAATTACTAAATTAATGAGACATTAAAATAGCTTATGTGATAGCAGGTAAGTGTTGGATGATTAAAAATCGACTGATTTTATTTCAATTACATAAAAAGGGTATTTTTCATTTCCATGCTGGATTATTGTTAGGCAAGACAGCCGTAAGTGCCATCTTCTGCATGCTTTCGTGGTATGCGTTTTGGACACACAACAAATGCATTTTCAGGTTAGAAATTCGCAGGAGAGGGCGACACTTTACTTGAAAGCACCGTTTTCATTGGCTTTCTGGAGGGATATTACCAGTCACTGCTATCTTGCCTAAAACTATGTCATGTTTTGCGCACTTACTGCTTTTTTATGTCTCGTTTTCATACAATTAGGATGAATTTTGCTATTTTAGCAATTTCAGAGATTTCATCTAAAAGAGTTCAGACGAATTTTGATGGAAACTCGATTTCGAAAATTTGACACTTACTGCTCTCTTCGCTTTAACGGCAGTGTTGGGCACTAAACCATCCATTAAGCGAGGTGTCCATACTCTCGCTATACAGGTTCACTAGCTCTCTCCATGCATTAAGCACGTTTTAGAATAGTAAGCAACAGAATTGGTGAGGTTATACACTGAACGTTAAAGTTAGTTCGTTGCTCTTCCTTACTTAATTCCTCCTTCTTCTTGGGGCTGGAAGGTTCAGAGCTCTCCCTGGGGCTGGAAGGCACAGAGCTGAAATCGGAAAATGATGAAGGTTCAGAGCGGAATGAGGAGAATGGTGAAGAGTCGGAGCTCAGTGAGGACATTGATGCCTTGTCCCAGTACTCTTTCGAATTCCTAGTTCGCACAGATTTCCCTACTGGAAGAGTTATAAAAAAGAACAAATTAAAAAAGTTGTGAACATTATACTTTCAAAAGATAAATGCCCTTAAAGACTCTGAAGAGAGGGTAAATCGGAGAGAAGATAAAACACTTATGAATTTAGCGGACAAAAAGTCAGTGACGTCTATACGGGTTTTTAGAACACTTAGCAAATGAAAATACATTCCTGGGTTTAATACATTATTGTATAATGCATAAGATTTTCAGGTACAAAGAGTGCTCCAAGAATTTTTTCTTCCCCTCTATTTGCAACCCACCGCTCCTTAATTTTAGAGATACACTCTAATTTTTGTCTTCCAAATTCCAAACAGAGTAGAACATCGATGGTAAAATTGGAAAAATGCGTATGTCGCAGGCAATTAGCAATCGCCGGCAATTTACAAGCCAGTGGTAAATAAATATAGAAAATAATACAAATCAAAAATAATAGGACAAGGTTAGAATGCTGATTATGTTGCCTAGATAATGTGTGTAGACACTTTTCTATCCTTAAAAACACGGCAGGAAAATGCACACTCAGAAGAGCGTGTATAGTAAACTCCGTGACATTAGTTGAGTTGAGATCGGACATGCAACTAAACTAATATCGTGACCATGCGTAGAGTATCACAAAAAATGAAGGCGCTTCAAGCCAAGCACATACTTTTGAAGACCATAACCCTTAAAATTGCATAATGTTGATGCGCATCATTGCGATTTATTGGAACAACGTGTGAACCGCTTGCAAATTGCCGGCGATTGCTAATTGCCTGCGTCACGTATACCTATCTCGGTTTCCCAGCGTTGCAGACATCCTGTCATACGTTTTATATCCACATGGAACACTACTGAACGTCACTTTTTGAAACTTTAAGTGATTTTTCTCTTCTTTATGAAAAATGTTCGGTGATAACATCAAACCTTGGTGTTGCTCCAGTCTACTCTTAAAAAGTAAAATAGTAACGGAGACTTCGAATCACCGCAACCGGAGGTACACATTTTTGCAGTTTCATCGTCAATATATATGCGGTGAAAATTGGTCAAGGATTCATGCTCGAGCACCAGTGTAAATTCAGAGCACCGTTCTAAGGAAAAATGTCTTATGAGCCATTAGGCGTTGCCAAATTTCCTTCGACAAATTTCGAATATTCAGGAAAATGTTTGAACATTTCTCTTCCGATTTTTCTCAGGGACTTGTTCGGGGTTCGGTTTGCGACAAGGAGTGGAGAAGGAGATCAGGAGATGCCAATGGAGATGTTGCATGTGTGAGGAATTTGCGATTTGACTATTGATTCTTATGTAAAAGTTCGCGAGAAACACGATGGTCCCACTGGTTTTCTCTGAAATCAACTCCCGACCTCAGAAAAAGCTCTCAAGTTGAGGCCAAAATGGAGGGGATATCCCACCCTACCCTGAGAGTCCACCTCTACATCAAAACAGACTCTCCATGCAAAGATAGGGAGCATAGACATCAGCAGTGATGCCGTGTTTTCACTTTTAGAGTCCCCAAATAAAGTGGCAGCCCTGTCAATGTATTTGCTCCCTATCTTTGCATGGAGAGTTTGATGTAGAGGTGGACTCTCAGGATAGCGTGGGATATCCCCTCCATTTTGGCCTCAACTTGAGAGCTTTCTTGAGCTTGGGAGTTAATATCAGGAAAAACCAGTGGCCACATCGTGTTTCTCGCCAACTTTTACAAAAGAATCAACAGTCAAATCGCAAATTCCTCACACATGCAACATCTCCATTGCCTGATGATCTCTGGGAGGATAGGGGGCAATGCCGATTGGGCGTCGTAGAGCACAAGGCTGCGCTGTGAAATCGGCTTACTGTATGTATTTGTTCATAATTTGATCCAGAAAGTCTGAACATTTCGAGGAAAAATATTCATAGCTTTCCTCATAAATAAATATTTACTGAGAGGAAATTTGGCAACAATCGAATGCTCAGACGGCGTTTGTACTGAGCACGGCAGAAACAAGGCAACGTTTAACGTTCCAACTATTAAAAGCTGACCTGGTCTTTTCTTTGCAGGTTCGGTTGAGGACGTTTCTACGTCCGATATTCTATCCGGCGACTTTGGTGATGAAGGCCTCTCTTCCTTGGTCGGCAAATCGAGGCTGGACGAATCAGAGCTCAGCGAAAAACTCCGACTCTGTTCCCACCACTCTTTTGACTTCCTATTGGTTCGCATAGATTTCCCTACTGGGAGAGGTATAAAAAAGACAAGATTAAAAGAGAAGTACTTCCAACAGATAAATGGACCACATTTTGCAACAAAGAACGACTATTTTTGGGTCATTTTAGAAACACCATACGGATTGCATTTTGCAAATAGGAACCAGAAGCATTGCAATGGTCCTAAGATAGTGCAACTTCATCCTTTGCAATAAAATTACTGAAACTATGAAGAAATATGAAATTTACATGGTGATTTTCGTCTTAAATTTAAAGTTTTTAGCGAGTAAAATATAAAATGTTAATGGATATTCAGGTTTTCCTTCCACACGGGAATAAAAAACACATTGGATCTAGAGTCCAGACTCTTGAAAACATTGACAGGAAAAAATACTCTTGATTCAATCAGATTTAAGCTTAAATCAAAAGGGAATCCGCTCAAATTAAGAGGCTGGGTTCTTGATTTAAGCTGAAATCCGGTTGAATCAATAGTATTTTTTCTTGTCGGTGTTTTTAAGGGTCTGGACTCTAGATCCAATGTGTGTGTTTTTTTTCCCAGTGAACCAGAAGCATTGCAATGGTGCTGAGATAGTGCAGTAGATAGTAAGATAGTGTAGACGTGGACTCTTAGGATAGCGTGGGATATCCCCTCCATTTTGGCCTCACTTTAAGAGCTATTTTTGAGCTTGGGAGATGATTTCAGAGAAAACCAGTGGCTTCATCGTGTTTCTCGCGAACTTTTACATAAGAATCAATGGTCAAATCGCAATAAATCCTTCACACATGCAACATCTCCATTTGCACTACCCATCGTAAGAACACTGATCAAAAATTATCAAAGCGCGTATAACAATTTGATTTCGCATACATTTTCTCAGCTTCAAAGTCTTAATCCTTGAAGACGCTTGTTTACAATGCGCTGTCGGCCGTATAGATAAATCTTTCAAATGCGTAGGTTGGTAGCGGCACTTTTCTAGTGATTTTCGTTTTACACAGTGTCGCCCTATTGGATCCTGAGAGCAACATGAATCGAGTTGTTCAACTCTCCCTATATGGGTACTCTAGTTGGCATTTGAGTTCGTTAAAAATTTTACCGAAGGAGCGCACGAAGGCATGCTTGTGGGTTATGAATCAAGGATGTGATAAATGAAGTTGCGCTCTAAACATTTTGAGAATAGATATCTTACCTGGTTTTCCTCTCTTTCCGAAATCCCAGGATGTATCTTCACTTCCTGTTGAAGTTGTCGATCCCATTGATGATGAGGGTGTCAGTCCTGTTGAATACGCCGAGCTTACTGACGATGAGTGCCCCAAATCCGACGGAACTGCACCGAGTTTGCCCTCCGAATTTTTCTTTACTTTATTCTCCGGATTCTCAGGATCAGAGTCAGAATCAGATCTCGTAGTTACCCCTCCATCAGTCGGTCGAATATTCACTGAAAATAAGTTCAAATGGAAAAGAATAATTGCCGGGGGCCGAATTTTGTCGTACCTTCCACCGTACTTAAATATACTTAGCACGGGTCTCGACTGCACTCAAGTCCGGCTTAGCGCCTCTGATTGGCCGGTGGTGCGGTTTGAACTCATCGATGGATGTTGCACTCCGTGTGAAAGAGCCGACAAAATTCGGCCCCAGCACAGCCGTGCTAAGGAAAACGCCGTATGAACATTCGAGGGTTGCCAAATTTTCTTCGATAAAATGTTTATTTTTAAGGAATAATGCCAAGAACATTTTTCTTCGAAATTTTCAGGAACTTTAGGTGAAATTGCAAACAACATTATCTGAAAACTTGGAAGGAAAGTATTCACAAGTTTACCAGGAATCTCGTGTTTTATAAATGAAAATTTGGCAACGCCTGAAGGTTCATGCGGCGTTTTCCCGTAGTACAGCAGAGTAGATCCTTGTCTGTAAAATCTTTGTGTAGAGGAGAGCAACAAATCTTAACTTTCAATTCACGCGGATACTGTCATTCCACAGGGAATGGGATTCATTAAAAAAAAATGCTTTATTTATCCACTCAAAATTGAGCCCCGCAAAAAAATTGGGGGAAAATACATTATGTTAAAAGCCCTAAAAATTCACCAGAAAAAATGTTAAACTCACCCATAATTTGAACGTGTATGACTCAAATGATTCGAAAAAAAGTGTCATTTCCGTGATGATTTTTGATGAAAAACTATCCGAATTCAGGTCATTGCAGAACGTTCTAAAACCCGCCGGAATCGGTTAAAATTTGTTATACTTAACCTTACCGAGCGTATGGTTAATATTGCCGACATGGGCGTAGCTAGGGGGGTCCTTAGGGGGGGGGGGCCTGGCCCCCCCCAGAAATCTCGTGGCCCCCCCTAGAAAAACGGGTTCCTCCATTTCTCACCCCCCCTCGCTCTCTTCACCACGAGAGGTGGTCCCATGGCCCCCCCTAGAAAAATTTCCTTGCTACGCCCCTGATGCCGAACGAATGAAACAATGTCCATGCGGAATCTATCAAATCTTGTCTGCCTTTTGAAAATTCTGCGTATATACTTTGCGCGATTCAAAACAGGGCAAAAAAGGCGCAGGGAAAAGGCAGTGCTCCCAACCGTGATGATGAAGGACCTTCTATCAGGTTTCAAAAATATTGATGTGATTCGATGGACGCCATGTTTTGTGTCAGAAAGGCATGCGATATATCGCATCCACTGGTTCCATTTTTTCAGCTACTCGTCATTTTTCTCCAATTTTGAGATCGCAACTCTGTTGTCAGGAGACTAAAGCACTCACTTACGAATTTTAACAAAGAAGTTCAACGTAATATAAGCGTGGTTTTCTCTCTAAAAAAGCCACGCCTTTATTGCGTTGAATTTCTTTGTTAAAATTCGTAAGTGAGTAAGTGGTCTCCTGACAACAGAATTGCGGTCTCAAAATTGGAGAAAAATGACGAGTATCTGAAAAAATGGAACCAATTGATGCGATATATCCCATGCTGTTCTAACACAAAATATGACGTCCATCGAATCACCTTAAGGGTCCTACCAAGGGACCGAGGGTATCCCCCTCCCTTATTACATATCGACGGCGTACGTCCGCAATCACATATCTCGTTTGCGGTGTCTGAAAATCTCTGCCTTTATGTTATTTTTTAAAGGAGAACAAATTGACATCATTCCTTGAAGTTTTTGCTGAATCCTCCCCCCCCCACCCACAGATAAGAAAAATCACGGCAGTTTTAAAGAATTCCCGTCGAGTAGTTTTTCGTTTAAAACATAAAATATGACAGGAGGTCTGCGACGTCGCAAACCGAGTTTTGTGATTCCCGACTTACACTATGTCGATATTTCAAATTAGTTTCCTTATATGTATTGGAACAGAGTAAACGAGGCATGGGGATTTCGACCTTGTGAAAAAATTTGATCATTATAAATCCTTTAGCTCCGCGTTATTGAACTCAACTCTGAAAAAAACCGCAACCGCAAACCGAGTTATACATATGATTGCCGACTTACACTGTCGATATTTCGCATTAGGTCCCTTATATCGGAACAGAGTAAAAGTAAACGAGACATGGGGATTTTGACATTGTAAACAAAGATCAATATAAATTCTTTAGCTCCGCGTTATTGAACTCAACTCTGAAAAACAAAGGACTCTATGCACGGACCCCCCAAATTTGCCCGTTTCAAAAGTTAACGAAATTCATACCAGTGATAGAGGGGCACTTCCGGTCTCCAAATCCAGGGTTGGTTTAGTCCCCAGCCCCCCGAGTGTGACGTTGCCACTTTTTAAAGTTGAAACATGCTGAACCCCATAACTTTTGAGCAATTAAAGATACGAACAGTGAACATTGAAGGCACGCATCTCGCGAAAGAATCGTTTTCCCGGAAAAACCAATATATCGTTTGAAAGCCCATACAAAGGGCTTTCATTACATGTAATTTTCATTTTCCTATCTGCGTGCGCAGTACTGATTTTTTGGGGTGCGAATGACGGGGGACCTCAAAAAGTACGCCAAGTCGGACTTTAAAGGCCTGTATCTCGCGATAGAATCGTTTCCTCGGAAAAACCGATATACCGTTGAAAAGCTCACATAAAGAGCTTTCATTACATATGAGTTTCGTTTTTCTGCCAGCGTTCGCAATACTAATTTTTTGAGGTGCGAATGACACGGGACCTCCAAAAAGTACGCCAAGTCGGACTTTGAAGGCCTGTATCTCGCGATAGAATCGTTTCCCCGGGAAAACCGATATACCGTTGGAAAGCTCACATCAAGGGCTTTAATTACGCGTGTTTTTTATTTTCCTACGTTGTGTCCCAATACCGACTTTTTTAGGTTAACCGTACTTTTGCATCTTGAAAAAATCGAAAAATAGTCGATTTTTGGGTAAATTTGGCAACAATGGATAAAAACTATACACGAAATGATAGCTCTTTTTATGTTCTATCAACTGAAACAAACCGCACCTTCGTATTTTTAATTGCTCAAAAGTTATGGGGTTCAGCATGTTTCAACTTTAAAAAATGGCAACGTCACACTCGGGGGGCTGGGGACTAAACCAACCCTGGATTTGGAGACCGGAAGTGCCCCTCTATCACTGGTATGAATTTCGTTAACTTTTGAAACGGGCAAATTTGGGGGGTCCGTGCATAGAGTCCTTTGTTTTTCAGAGTTGAGTTCAATAACGCGGAGCTAAAGAATTTATATTGATCTTTGTTTACAATGTCAAAATCCCCATGTCTCGTTTACTTTTACTCTGTTCTGATATAAGGGACCTAATGCGAAATATCGACAGTGTAAGTCGGCAATCATATGTATAACTCGGTTTGCGGTTGCGGTTTTTTTCAGAGTTGAGTTCATTCAAATTTGGGGGGTCCGTGCATAGAGTCCTTTACAAATGTACCTACGTCGGAGTAAGCAAATTCGAAGCAGACTGCTACGATCGGCTAGGATGAACCATATATTTTCTTTACACTATACGTCACTTTCAGCGCAGTGGAACTCTAGCATGTGTTAGGAATTTGCGCTTTATGCATTGACTCTCAAGTAAAATTTCGCGAGAAACCCAATGGTGCGGAGGGTATGAATTCGATCGACATGAATCGATCGAAAAATGAAAAAGTGAACCGATCGACATGAATCGATCGACACCGATTCGATCGACAAATTGTTAAAAAAAACCGGTGTCGATTCGATCGACATGAATCGATCGAAAAATGAAAACGTGAATCGATCGACATAAATCGATCGACAACCATGAATCGATCGATAGACCTGTGAATCGATCGACAAACCCGTGAATTGATCGACAAACCCGTGAGTCGATTGACATGAATCGATCGACATGAATCGATCGACACCGCACTGGAAAAAAAAAAAAAAAAAANAAAAAAAAAAAAAAAAAACACATATTTGATCTAGAGTCCAGACTCTTGAAAACATTGATAAGAAAAAATACTCTTGATTCAATCGGAGTTTTGCTTGAATCAAAACGAAATCCGCTTATATCAAGAGGCTTGGTTAATTTAAGCTAGGTTCTGATTGAATCAAGAGTACTTTTTCTTGTCGATGTTTTTGAGAGTCTGGAGTCTAGATCCAATGTGTTTTTTTTTTTTTTCCCCAGTGCGATTCGATCGACAATTATTGGACGTATTTCTGTCAAACGGAACTATGTGCATTATGACGTGAACCCTTTTGTGCATGTATTCTTATGGGTCTCAGGGCTCATGTCTCAATGCACATAGTGTTCCGTTTGACAGAAATACGTCCAATTAATTTAAAAACACCCGTGTTGATTCGATCGACATAAATGGATCGAAAAATGAAAACGTGAATCGATCGACACCTTTTGGATCGACAACCGTGAATCGATCGACAAACCTGTGAATCGATCGACAAACCTGTGAATCGATATACAAACTCGTGGATTGATCGACAAACCCGTGAGTCGATCGACAAACCCGTGAGTCGATCGACAAACCCGTGAGTGGATCCACAAACTCGTGAATCGATCGACAAGCCGATCGAATCGGTGTCGATCGATTCTCGTCGATCGATTCACGGTTTCATTTTTCGATCCATTCTTAGTAATGTAAAAGTAAGCAATACTCATTCAAAATAATCTGAGGGGAACTGTGACTCATCTTTTTTACTAACGAAAAGTCATGGCCAGGGGCCCAGCCCCATGTAAATAAGAAAATACACAAATCGATAAAAAAAAATGCCACTTCCCCGACGAAAAAGTCATACTATAACAAAAGATCTTTCATCAAGATTAGAAAGTTTTTCTTATCTCTTTTATTTTACCGCTAACAGAAGTAGCCCAAAAAGATGATAATAAATGGTAATAAACCTGTTTTGATGATAAACACAACGATGTATAGTAAAAAAAGGACTCTCCAACTTCCACACATTTTGCAGCTGAAATGAAGTTGGCATTTTCCCCCTATTATTTCAGTGGTAGC